CTCGTCCGCTTAAAATGTAAAGAAATCGTAGAGAAAAAACCAAGCATCTGTATCTGAAGGTGTGTACGAATCTTAGAAAGTTTTCAAGTTTGTGTACTTGGAGATGGTTGTTGGTATGGTAGACTGTCAGGCCATCCAAGTTCATCAGCTTCAGAACCCCCTTTTGAGTCACATCTGCAAGTGTTGGATGCCATGATAAAAGCAATGACATTCAATGGGACATGCCAGCGGAAAATTGCGTCGGAAGGTTCTTCGACGACGAAGCTGCCACGCCGCCAAAATACTACATTACTATGCCATTTCAGTGCAAACACTCCAGAACAAAACACCACACAGTCTGTTTTAGAAACAAAATTCCATAATACCCCAGGCAGTAAAATAAATTGGCTAAGTAAAAAGAGAGCAATTTGCGACATACCTGACATTGACAACGCTATGAAATATCACGTCATTGTCAGTATTGTCAATTCTCTTACTGGAAACGTTATCTTCACTCAGGGATAGTACTAATTTAGTGCAAAGCTGGAGGAAAACAAACAAACGCCTAAACATAATTTATGAACAAGCAACTGCATGTAGTCTGCAGATGTAAATGAACCCGGGATATAACTACAATTACTAAACTGACATGAGAATCAACACACTTGCAGGGGCATGTAGTCAGTACACATATATGTTTGACACGTGAAATTCCATTACAAGTGACGTGGTATTTTCCTCTACTGAACTACTCCCTCCATCCATATGTAGTCCGTATTGAAATATCGAAAAAGACTTATATTTAAAAACGGAGGGACTATGATTTGAAGACCTTAGTAAGGTAAATAAACCTATTCTCATTCAGATCTCTAGCTATTGGTTGATCCAGGGTGAGATCTCAGAGGGAAACAAAACATACATGGTTTCGGGATCGAGATATTTATTGTATTTTTTATGATTGTTCAGTTTTTGTGCCTGTAACTGGGCTTTGTACACCACCTGGATTTGGCACGAGTTATTTATTGTATTTTTTATGATTGTTCAGTTTTTGTGCCTGTAATAGATATACAACGCACCACATGTAAAAGATTTGTGGCCAGAAAAGAGAAAATACCAAGAAAATAGAAATAAGCTAGCAAGCCAAACGACAAAGTACCTGTTACAGCGAGCGAGCAAAGGGAAGTGTTTCTCCATGATTATTAACTGAAGATGAAGACACACATGGTTACCTGCAATTGCAACTCCGACGACTGGTGCTGTAAATACAAGAGAAAGTATTCCCTTTTCCAATAAATTTGGAGCAAGCCCACAGCGCACAAAAAGTGATAAAATGTACCAAACCTGCAACTATCTCGAACGGACCATTGAGCAAGCACCTTTGGCCAATAAACTAAGAAACATGGATTATATGTGGGATATATTCCAATTAATCGGAATGCATAATTTATAAATCCTTGCCACCGCTTGTGAGAATGTCCAGTGGAAGAATCCTCACAAGCAATAAGTACCAATGTAGATGGTACGTGAATGCAAACTAATGCTAGAAAGGGTAGCGGCCGCGTGCTCCATAATGTAAGACTTGCTGTTGCTTCGGGGTGAGATCTCAGAGGAAAAGAAAACATACTTGGCTTCGGGATCGAGATGTTACTACACGAATCCATCAAAACTCGTCGTGTATGAGGCGCTCACCCATGGCGACGGCTGCATCTAGAGCCGGCAGCGAGGGAGACTTTGAGCCGCCCCCTCCTTCCTTGGTGGAACATGGCGGCGGAAGTGATTCTGGACAAGGTGGGGGCTTGGTCTTCGGCGGCGGTGGCGGCCACCTCGATCCCCTCCGTCACGGCCGCGCGAGCGCAAGATCCGGGGGCCGCTTCCTTGATGAGCACGCGTGCGCCACGGACATGGAGCTCCGTCGCCTAACCTTGACGATTTGTAATCGGATCCGGCGATGGAGAGGAAGGGTGGGTGGGGGGAGGAGGTGGCTGAGCGGGAGATAGGGGAAGCCACGGGGAGGGGGCGACGGCGGCGGAGCGGCTGATGGGTGCGGCGCCGCATCACGATAAGAGGGAGAGAGAGGTCGCATCGCGAGGGGTGGATCGAAAGAGGAGCGGGTGCTGCGATGCGAGGTGAAACGAAAAAAAACCTACGATGGTTAACCTAAAAAAAACCGGACGAAAGTGGTGGGACGAAAATTGATCGACGGAGACTACCAACTGCTCCATTAGGAGTAGAGATTATTTTGTTTCCTAATTAATGTGATTGAGCAATTTAAGGTAAGGTTAATTAATTTAGATTTGATATTTAGAGATTGATCGTGATTGATTCTTTCACATAAATACATTACTAAAAATAACTTGCACCAGCATGGAAAGTTATGATCCGTTAAGATTTTTTTCGTTGTGTGAGAGGGTGACGCGAAACTAAACCGGTGGGGTAGGGGAGGGACGAAAAAAACCAGCGAAATGAAACGGGTGGGAGGTGGGAGGAAGTACCAAAGAAGTACCAAAAAAACCGGGTGAGGTGGGACGAAAAAAAACCTGGAAGCGAGACTACCAACTGCTCCATTAGGAGTAGAGATGTCGTACCAACTTATTCTGTGTGATATGTGTAAAAATATATGTGCTAAATAGTGAACGGTGAGGTGGGTATTTTTATCCGTGGTTATTTTCTTACCCAAACAGGGTACGGGTTTATGGAAAAAAGATGGGTCAAGGGTTTGGGCACGTATTACCCGCGGCGGATGGAGGACTCAAAACACATCTTCTTCACTTCTGTCTCGGCGCAATTTTTTTGGAGTTGTTTCCGCGAAATGGTCGGTGGACAGTGGTGGCACACCAACTTCCCAAAACCTCTTTGCGGAAATCTAGCCCCCCCCCTAGTATGCTCGCCACATTAGGTGGTTGGTTTGTTATTGGGGCTCTTGCCTGGACACTCTGGACCGTTCGTAATAAACTTGTAATCCAACGTGTCTCTCGCTCCAACGTGCCACCGACACGGTGTTCAAACTGTGTGGGTATTTGCAGCTTTGACGGTTGCTTAGCCGCTCTCAGGACCGCGACGCCATCAACACCTTCATTGCAGATCTTCGTGCGATGGCTCTCCATCTGGCGCCCCCGCTTCCTCCACCACCACCGGAGCCGGATTAGCCCTTCGTGGCATGTGTTGCTGCCTTTTATTTTCTCTTTAGGGCTTGTTGACTTGTGCCCTCAGCAGAACCCTTTGTTGTACTTTCTTTGTTGTCTGCTATTTTGGTGTGCGTGTGCGGTGTGAACATTTGTTGGACCTTGTGCTTCTAGTGGTTGCTTTATTTATAAAAGCGGAGCGAAAGCCTTTTTCGTATTACCCGCAGCCAAACCTGTAGGTGCCATGTTGAGTTGTGACAACAGCGACCGCGTGTGCAGGATTTTGGCATGGGCTAGTTCAACTCTAAAGCCCTTCCATCACCAAAACTAAGGGCCTTGGCATGACACATCAATCCAACTCCATCTCAGAATGAGGCCACAACCTCCTCATCTGGATCGCAAGGCACCGCACCGTCGGAAGATTGGAAAGTTCTCCAAGAACAAGGATGGATGTCGCCGGGTGGTCACTTAGAGCAGATGAGCGCACAACAAATGTGTCGAAGCTCTCCAAGAGCATGACGAACGCCACACAGCCCACGATAAGAACACGCCGGAGGAAAAAAGCACAAGCTTTGGATGCAGAAGGGCACGCCATTTGCTGCTGCTGCCGAACCCAAACGGCGCCCACCACCACAGAACTCTCAAGGCAGTGCCTTCAAGAAGGGAACGGTGCCGAGAGCGTCGTCACAACCCACTGTAGTTAGGGTTTTGACCCGAGAGGCGGGGAGGTGGAAAGAGGTAGGGCAGATCTGACCGATGTCTCCATGAACAAAACCAGCTCCCACGGGAGTCGTTGCCGTCATGACTGGACGAAGCTAGCCAGGCATTTCTCTCGGTCCGGAACCCTACCATTAGCTTCGCCCGCAGCCTGAGGACCGGGCAGCTAGCCAGCCAGCGAGGACAAGAACCGGCGGGAGGGAAGCACACCAAGCGGGGAGGACGAGAAGCGGTTAGATCTAGCGGCATCAGTAGCATGGGTAGCCACGCCGCGGCGCCAATCTAGCAATGGTCCGCCGGCCACCCAACTAGACCACCAAGCACCACGCGTCTCCATCGCTCGCTGCAGAAAAGGGGGCCTCGCCGGAGGGGCTGCCACCCCAGATTCAGGGCTCTCCGCCACCGGGAAGGAGCAGCACATGCCCCGTCGGCCGCCACATCCCCCGGCTACGTCGCGGGCTTGCCCGGTGCCAGCCTCGTGTGGTGGCGAGGGGGGAAGGGGCTTAGACCGGCGGGAGGGAAGATCGCTCCCGAGTCGCCCGGGTGGGCGGAGGGGGGAGTCTCACCATTAACTCTAGTTTTGTAAGTAGCAAACCAACTCGCGGTTGAATGCATACGAGGGTGGTTGTAGCTATAGGTTTGACACTTGTATATCTTATATAAAGACGAAATATTTTTTAAGAGGTGGTGACTTGGTCAATCTCAAGACCCGCCCTCTCAGTCTCTTGAAGGTGCAGAGTATGCATCCATTTGGGTGAGTATATGTGCGTCTATGTAAGCATGTGCGCTGATTTTGAAAAGAAAAACCCTCCATTTTTAAAGTATGAAAAATCCTTGTCGTGTCAAAGGTGCCTAAATACAGTACGAGGAGACCAAAATTTGCACCATTGCCGCAGCACAAAATGCAATTAACACACGGCGCAAATCCCAACGACACGCGAGTACACGGTCACTCGGCGCACCGCACAGCACGGCCGATGTGATGCCTCGACAATCCGGCAATGCTATACGTACAAACGATTTACAGGTTTTTACAGGATGGTTAATCTTGATTGGTCAATAGGTGAGCGGGGCGGCTCATCCTCCTCAAAATCAAGAGGGAGAGGTTTGTAATTGGTTGTTAGATGAAAGGAACGTGTAAAAGCGTGTAAGTGTTTGTATGTCTAGCATTTTTGTCGACAATCAGCATATGAAGGCAGCATCGGCGTGCTCGTCGCTGCAGTAGAGGCCAGGCTGCTGGACGTAGCCCTGCTTGGCCAGCAGACCGCGCGCTCTCTGCACGAGCTCCCTGTTGGTCACCTTCCCGCGATTCTCCTCCGCGAGGACGGCCTGGATGGCGTTGCTGAGCGCGCCGTAGGACACGCCGCTGGCCGTGGTCAGGTCCGCCGAGGACTCGTCCGTCTGGCACCCGCTGATCAGGACGCCGTTGCGTGGCGGCGGCGCCTTCGCCGCGGCGGCCCCCGCGTACACCTCCTCGACGCCCCGCACCTCCTGCTCCATGGCTGGCCCGAGCGCGCCGGCCTGATTCCCGCCTTCGCCTCCCTCCGGCTTAGCTTTCGGGACCAGCTCTGTGACCGTGGCGGCCTGGTCAGCGCCATGCCGGAGCTTGCCGTGCACCATGGCCTTGACGAACTTCTTGATCTTGGGCGTGGCGTCGTCGCCGAAGTGGTGGAACAGCGTCGTCCGGATGGAGCCCACGCCGACGTCGTCCTTCCCGGTCTGCTCCTTGAGCATCCGGATGTACGTCGACAGGGGCAGCGACCGGCTCGTCGTGGCGGTGCCGGCCGGCGAGCCCGCCGCCTGCTTGGCGCGGCGGGAGAGGCGGATGCCGACGTACTCGAGCGCGCCCCGGACGGTCCCGAGGAGCGACGCGCACAGGTTGGCGCCGGCGGACGGAGGTCGCTGCCGCTGCTGCTGGGCCTTGCTCTGCTTGGTGCTATTCCCTATCTGCTCCTTGGTCTTGTCGATGAGGCCGCCGCTGTGGCACGAATCGGATACCATGGTGAAGAGGCAGCCATCGGGGACCTTCCGCACCAGCTCCGTGAAATCTTGGTCTGCGGCAAAGGAGCTCCTTCACTTGTCAGTCAAATCAGACAGTAACAGCTCCAAGACGAATCCGGAGCACTTTTCATCTTTACCTTTGATGAGATTGGTGTCGCAGGGCACGATGCACTCGTCGTAGCCGGTGTCGTCGTCCTCGCCGGTCTCGGCGGGCAGCTGCAGGCCGTGGCCGCTGTAGTGGAAGAAGAGCGAGTCCCCGGGCCGCGCGCCGCCGACGAGCCGCTCGAGCTCGAGCCGGATGTTGGCGCCCGTGGGCGGCGGCGTGGACGGGCCGGCGTCGGCGAGGACGCGGATGTCGGCGCCGTCGAAGCCGAAGCGGTCGACGAGGCAGCGGCGCATGCGGGCCACGTCGTTGAGGCAGCCCTTGAGCTCCCCCTCCGTGCCCGGGTAGTTGATGCCCACCAGCACCGCGCGCTTCCGTCCCATCGTCGGCTATGGCGCGCTCCGGTGGCGCTGCAGGACGCGACGAGGCTCAGAGGCTGGTGGGGTGGCGAGCTGTGTGTTGGCGGTCCGATCTGGCAGGCACTAGTGGTGGGTTGGTGGAGGTTGCTCGAGATGATGATCGCTGGCCAGTGCAAAAATGCTAGACATACAAAGACTTACACGCTTTTACACGCTCCTTCCATCTAACAACTAATCACAAACCTTTCCCCCCTAATTTTCGGGGGATGGGCCGCCCCGCTCACCTATTGACCAATCAAGGTCATCCTGTAAAAGCCTGTAAATCGTTTGTACGTGTAGCATTGCCAGGCCAGTGCTAGCTTTTTCGTATATTGGCTCGTGGCGCCAATCATTCCGTTGGCGTCAGGTCAGCTATGAATGTCTTCACCACGGATGATCTCATTATTATGCTACTCCATGATAGTTGTGGCACTATTTGTAAGATAGAGTACATACATTGCCACTAACCATAAAAAGGCAGCAGAGTGGAAGTAAGATACATACAGATAATGTAATGGCAGGTTTGTATATGGTATAAAGATAGTGGGAACCTGTTATCCCGTACTTTTATCTATTTTTTCTGCTTTTGAGAAACATGGAGTATGTCCCAAAATATAAAAACGTTTTTAACACTGTGCGTTCTTATTTTTTGGGACGGAGGGAGTATATTATAACCTCAGAGCATGTGATTGTTATTCTGTGATGAAACATCGACCAGTCCAATCTTAGCAACACATGGCGTCCAGGTCTCCAAAACCACAGTCCACAGACAATAGCAGACAGTTGACACACGGGGAGAAAACGTTTTTCCTCCCATCGACGGACAAAGACAACGGATGATGTTTCACGGCGCTCTCAGCATATGAAAGCCACCTCGGTGTGCCTATCGCTGCAGTAGAGCCCAGGCTGCTGCTTGTACCCCTGCTTGGACAGCAGCGCGCGCGCCCTCAGCACCAGCTCCCTGTTGCTCACCTTGCCGTCTTTCTCCGCGAGGATGGACTGGATGGCGTTGCTGAGCGCGCCGTAGGACAGGCCCTTGGCCGTCGTCGCGTCCGCCGAGGTCTGGTCGGTCTGGCACCCGCTGACGAGGACGCCGTTGTGGGGCGCCCTCGCCGTCGTCCCGGCGTACACCTCCTCCACGCCGTGCACCTCCTGCTCCATGGCCGGCTTCAGCTCCTCCTGCTTGCCCTGCAGCTTGGCCTTGAGCAGCTCCTGCGCCAGGGCGCCCACGAAGCCCACCACCCCGCCGTGCTGCCCCTGCTGGAGCTTCTCCAGCATCACCTTCATGAACTTCTTGATCTTGGGGCTGGCGTCGTCGCCGAAGACGTTGAACAGCGTCATCCGGATCGACCCGACCTCGATGTCGTCCTTCCCCGTCTTCTCCTTGAGCATCTCGATGAATGTCGAGAGGGGCAGCGACCGGTTCTTGACGTGGCCATCTGTGCCCGAGTCCAGGCTCGGCTCCTCGGACTCAGCGTCGTCATAGCTACCCTGCTGGCCGCCACGGCGAGGAAGGTGGACTCCTTGGGACTCGAACGCGTCCCGGACGGTCTGCTTGAGGAACGACCGGAAGCCGCCGGAGCCGGATTCAGAGCGCTCTTCCCGTTTGCCTTGCTGTGCCTTGTTCTGCTTTGTGCTGTGGCCAATCTGCTCCTTGGCCTTGTCAAGTAGGCCACCGCTGTGGCAGGAGTCAGAGACTATGGTGAACAGGCAGCCATCAGGGACTTTTTGCACGAGCTCTGTGAAATCTTGGTCTGCAGTGCACAGAAGGAAATTAGAACGATTGACAGGAAGAGATGCAAGATATTACTGGTTATTAATTTCACTACTTCTAGTTCTATGTATTGGTTGCCTTCTCGATATAGTAGTTAATAATTGAAAGCAGGAGGATTACTACAGCAGTAGAAAAATCTCCAGATAACCATCAACCCAAGTGCCTAACTGCCTATGAGTTGAAGCAGGCTGAGAGCATTCTATTGCGGGAAAAGAAAAATCATGAGTCCGGCAAGCCAACAAGTGGCAAATTCAAACATTACCTGGTTGCTCACAAACAGATCTTCAGTGAACTACTTTTAACAAAAAATAGACCCTACTCACTTATGATACAGTTTGATTTTGTGTTGTTCCACTACAGGTTTGAATTCTTGGTACCCTCTGCCTGTCTAGGACTAAACTAGTTTAAGGAATGCAGGGCTTGGTTATTTTCATGTTTGCGATCAGTTCCATGACAAAATTCGTTAAAGCAACTTAGGCTAAGGGCGTAGAGCCTATATCCTGCTAGTCCAGCAACATATTTCAGCTTAGGTTAGTGTTTGGAAAACTTTGGATTAGTAACCAGATGTAACAAACTCTTGCTACTAGCAAACCAAACCAAAATTCGGTGACTTGCAAATTTTGGTAGAAGAAATCTGACATCAAACAAATCACCTGCAGTCTCTTGTCATCTTGCATAAATAGCATGTTATATCCAAATATTTTGCGCTATGTGGTGAAAAGTCTGCAATCAGTACTGCCACAATGTACTATCTGAAATCATCATAGTCACCTAAAAACTAATCCAGTCAGAAATTCAGAAATTACTACAGCGCTAAATCCGCCAAGTCGTAAAAACGTGACAATCAATCAAATAACGTCCCTCTCAGATCTCACCAACCACACTCGAGTCGATCATCCCCGCTGATTAACCGGTAGTTCGAGACAGAACAACTACAGGAGCAAACAAGGCACAAGACAAAAACGAAAACGAAAGGGCGTCTCCGGATCTGCGCACCTGTGATGAGGTTCATGTCGGAGGGGACGATGCACTCGTCGTAGCCGGTGTCGTCGTCCTGGCCGGTCTCGGCCGGCAGGCGCGTGCCGTGGCCGCTGTAGTGGAAGAAGAGGGAGTCCCCGGGGCGCGCGTCGGCGACGAGGCGCGCGAGCTCGCGGCGGATGTTGGCGCCCGTGGGCTGCTGCTGCGGCGCGGCCCGGTCGGCGTCGGAGAGGACGCGGATGGCGGCGCCGTCGTCGTCGAAGCCGAAGCGGTCGACGAGGCAGCGGCGCATGCGGGCCACGTCGTTGTGGCAGCCCTTGAGCTCCGCCTTGGTGCCCGCGTAGTTGATGCCCACCAGCACCGCGCGCTTGCGCCCCATCCTTGGGTTCGGTCGGCGGTCGTCGGCGACGGCGATGGCGCGGCGAGGCGACGCGGCGGGCCTCGGGGAGTCCGATGGATGGAAATGATGGCGTGGATTTGGTGGGGTTTGCTACTGGGGCTTTTTGGGTTGGCGCCGGCTGTCTGCTGGCGTTTCCGATCTGGCAGCTGCTGGGTGGTTGGTGGCCGTGTGTGACCTGGTCGTCGCTTTGTGCTGGGTTGGTCTCAGCGACGCGGCGGCCGATAATAACATTTTTTTTGAGAAACACTGTGCTCGTGCAGCTTCGGTAGGCCGCCCGCCCTACATTATTAGGCCAACTCCACCGCAAGCGTCCGTTTGGGGTGGCAATAGGTGTGAAAACGGACATGCGTGTTCGGGTTTCGTTCGAGGCGCCCAACACGACTGCCAATCCCAAAAAACGTCCGCTACCCCAGTGCCAGCCGTCTCCGCTCGCGCTCGCTCGCCATGGCCGCCCGCCCATGCCCTGCTCCGGTCCTACCGCGCCCGCAGCCTTTCCCGCTCGTCGCCGCGCCTGTGCCAGGGCCAGGGCCGTGCCGTCGCCGGTGCCGGCCATGGCTCCCTCCTGCGCCGCGCCTGCGCCTGGGACGCGCCGCTGCCGCATGGATCTGGATCCGGGTGCGTGCGGCCCCGGCTCGCCCTAGCCTCGCCCCGGCGCGCCCCGGCCATGCTCGCCCCGAGCTCCGGCCCAGGCTCGCCCCGGCCACGCCACGCTCACCCCGAGCTCGTTGCCGCAGGGGCAGGCGGCTCCGGCGTCCAACAGAGGAGAGAGAGGGGAAGGGGACAAAAGCAGGGGCAAGTGGCTGCCATGCGGGCCATGTGCGGACGCGAGGACGCAGACGGGCTGTCCGCTTTGCCTCAAATCCATCCCAAGTTTGCTCTGGATATGGGGTCGAAGCGGACACTAAACGAACAAAAAGGCAAGATGGGGTTGCGCATTGGGTCGTTGGTTTTGTCCGTTTTACCCCAAACGGACGACCCCGGACGATTTAGGGTCGTGCGGTGGAGTTGGCCTTACCACGGGAGCCATGCGCACCCAAACTCGCGGGCCACGGCCCATTGCCCAATCAGTCATCTCCTTCCTCCCTCGGTCATTTCTAAAAAAAAGATGATGGGGGCGAACTAGAGATGAGTAGGGCATTTGGAAGACCAAGCTCCATGGATCCCTTAATTTTGAAAAACTTAAATTCAAAAAAAATAGTTTCAAATTTTCCTGAAGAAAACACACATGTATACAAGTTGTAATGTGTATGTGTGTTAAATTCCAGGATGAAATACCTTGAGTGACGAGCTGCACAAAGGAATAATATCATGGACATTGAGGATGAACACTAATATGCTAAATAGCCCCAAAATTTGTTTTTTTTTGTGTAGCTCTCGGTTTAACGTATTTTGACCTGAAAATTTGCACACATGTACAATATGTCTCTCGGTCTATGTGTATTTTTTTTTTAGAAAATTTCCAAATTGAAGAAGTTTGAATTTTGTAGTTTTCAAATTAAGTCCTCTGTGGAGCTCGGCCTCCATTTGGAATTTTTGACTAGAGAGGAGTACGGCATTTTGGAGACTGAGCTCCATGGAGCCCTTAATTTGACGCTCTTTGCGTTAATGGCGGGGTGATGCACAAAGCGCTTGGATGGGCCAGCCCACCACAGTCTAGCGTTTTTATTTTGCTCTGTTTGTTCTTCAATTTTTCAACCGGTTTTCCTCACATGGCTGCTAGACTTTTTACATATTAAAAATAAATATTTTCTAATATAAGAAAACGTTCAAAAATTTAGAAAATATTTATGAATTTAAAAAAATCAGAATTCTTTTCTAAAAAATCATGAATTT